GACTGCTGGCCCTGGTGTGGCTAACCTGGCTTACTGGACTGCTGGCCTTGGTGTAGCTAACCTGGCTTACTGGATTGCTTGCAGCCAGAGGCTTCTGAAGGTGCGTGTGCTCCAGGACTTGCAGTGAACGTGGGGACATTTGGGGGCACAGTTGGAGCAAAAAAGGAGAGTTAGGCTTATTCTGTGTGTTGTGTTGCTTTCATGCCACACCCTGGAACATCTAATTGACACCAGGTAATTTTTTTTTGCTCCTTTTCGCTCTTACCTCCCCACCTGCACGGCGGGAACTGCTGATGGCTTGGCCGATCATGTCGTAGATTTCCAACTGTGGAGAGAGATGGGTTTGTTTGTTTTTTTAAAAAAACAAGGTGTCACGTAAGAGACGAAAGGCCAGCCGATGCCACCCCAACGCCCTCGAGAATTTTGCGGCTGCAAACTCCCCGTTTTCCTTGCAGGCCCTTCCCCCCGTCCCGTGCGTGCCCGACTCACGCATTTCTGCACAATGATGGCGGCATCGTTTTCGTAGTCCTCTTCTTTGGAGCTCGTGGAGCCCGTGCGGACTTGCTGGGTGGTGCCCACATGTAGGATGGCCATGCAGGTGGCCACACTCACCCCTGGGGGAGAGGAAGGATCCTGGGGTCAGCCAGAGCAACGGGGACCAACTCAAGGCCCTGAGTCTCAACCTGTGATGGGGGAACGAGGAGCAAGAGGCCTCCCCCCACTCATTTCAGCCTTTCCGCGGTGGGTCAAATGAGGACCCAGATTGTTGGGGACAAGAGGCTGACTCTGTAAACCGCTTAGAGGGGGCTGTGAAGCACTGTGAAGCGGTATATAAGTCCAAGGGCTATTGCTATTTTCCTTCCTTCCCAATGGTTAGAATGCGGTATGGCAGGCTAACTCTGCCCACCGCCAGGAGTTCGATCCTGACAGGCTCAAAGTTGATTCAGCCTTCCATCCTTCCGAGGTGGATAAAACGAGGACCCAGATTGTTGGGGGGCGATGGGCTGAGTATAAACCACTTAGAGGGGGCTGTGAAGCACCGTAAAGTGGTATATGTCCAAGAGCTATTCCTTCCTTCCTTCCCTCTCTTCCCCTTCGTTCCACGTGGTTAGAATGCAGGATTGCAGGCTCACTCTGCCAACTGCCAGCAGTTCAAGCCTGACTGATTCAAGCCTGACTCAGCCTTTCCTTCTTTCGAGGTGGGTAAAATGAGGACCCAGATTGTTTGAGGGTGACAGGCTGACTCTTAGAGAGGGCTGTGAAGCGGTATGTAAGTCTGAGCGCTATTGTTATTAAAAGCAAAGTGACTTTGGGATTCTTTTTCTGTTCAGAGATTAAAATCTCTTTCCCAAAGATCTCAGAGTGGGAAACGGAGCATGGGAGAAACAGAGGGAACAGAGGAGCTGAAAAAGAAGAAGATCGTTCTCTCCCTGCGCAGCCCTTTTGCTGCAACGAACGAAGCTCCTTCTCTTCCTTCGTGTGTGGCAAGGAACCCACCACCGCACAGCCTCCCCCAGGGGTTTTGGCAGGGCTCCTGCACCGCACAGACTCACCTGCGTAGAGGCAGCTGAGGGCCAGGACGGTCACGTCCTGTAGGCGGGCCGGTGTCAGAGGTTCCAGGACAGGGAGGGAGAGCGTGTCCAGGGCCATGGTGACGTCAATCACCAGGGAATGGAACCTGCACAGGTGGGAGGGGAGACGGAAGGTTGGTGTAAAAAAAGTTGGCAAGGAAGGGAACAAAGAGATCGAGTTCGGCTCAGAACCTGTGGGAGAAAAACCGGGATATACCGTATTTTTTTTCCAAACCGTAAGATGCACCTAGGTTTAGAGGAGGAAAACAAGGGCAAAAAATAGGGGGTTTTTTTGCCTCTGTACGTCCCGTTTTTGTCCTCTCCGGCATCCAGAAGCTGCAGGCCAAAAACAGGTCCATTTTTGGCCCCCGGAAGCCTCAGTTGGTCTGTTTGCCCTCCCGAAAACGAGACGCACGGAGGGTTTGGGAGGCCCAAAACGGGACTGTCTTCGCTCTACCAGCGGTCCCCAACTGGTGGTCTGTGGACCACTGATGATACGTGAGAAAACTTTGGTGGCCCGCAGAAATATTATTTGCATTTTTAAAATATTGCATTAAAATCAGAGGTCGTCCAACCATGGGTGCTCCTGGGCCGGATACGTGCAATGAACGCTTGTGTTGCTGCAAAGAGTCTCCCCCTTCGGCGTCTTTTTGTGCGGGTCGGAGGGGGGCAGAAATTCCCATTGGGGGTCTGCTTCAGCCTCCTGGTGCGAGGCTTTGGGTAAGGGCTGGAGGGAAGGGCCACTGGTGGCGAAGAGCCGGTGTGCCTCCAGGTGCCGGTACCTGGCCTTGCACCCCCGCAGGTCTTCCCTCTGCTTGGAAAGCCTGTGCTCCTAGTCCTCAGTGAGGTGCTTCTGCTGAGCCTCCTTCTCAGCCAGATCCAGCTTCCTGTTGGGGCCCTTAAGGAGCCCCGGCAGGAGAAGAGTGGCTGGGAGAGGAAGAGGGAGAGTAGAGGCCGGCGAGGTGCCCCTCGATGCAAGTGACCTCGAGTTGGCCACGCCCACCCTGTCCCATGGCCACCTAGCCACACCCACCCAGCCGGTCATTGGGCAATCGTATTGGTGGCCTGCGGGATTTAAAATTATGGATTTAGTGGTCCCTGAGGCCCGAAAGTTTGGTGACACCCTGCTCTATAAGACACACGGATATTTCCACCCTCTTTTTTCTTGAGCGCGTCTTATAGTCCAAAAAATATGGAAAGAAAGAGGATGAGCGCTTACCCGTTACGAACTGCTGTGGCGTCGGCGACAGTAGCCGGCATGATGAAGAAGGAATTGGCCGACACGGCATCCTGGAAGCGGTTAATGTAGCGCAGGAAATACGGGAGGTTCAAGCAGACGCGCAGCAGCTTTTCAGAACCGCCTGCATTGAAAAAGGCGAAAGAGGGTGAAGGGACCAAAAAGATGAGGACCGGCCTCTTGAGACTCTTGGGGAGGCCAGAGGCATGAAACTGCAGGAAGTCCTCCACTTAACGACCACAACTGAGCCCGGCGTTGGTGTTGCAAAAGGGAGAAATTCATTGAGTTTTGCTCCCCTTTTACGACTTTTCTCGCCACGTTTGCATTTGAATTAGTAACCTGGCTGTTAAGTGAATCTGGCTTCCTCATAGAATTTAATACAGATTAATACAGATTATCAGAGTTGGAAGGGACCCTTGTAGATCATCTAGTCCACCACCCCCAAAGCAGAAGACTCTACACCATTCCTGACAAATGGCAGTCCAATGTCTTCTTGAAAGTCTCCAGTGATGAAGCTCCCACAACTTCCGAGGGCAACTTCTGTTCCATTGGTTGATGGTTCTCACCATCAGAAAATTCCTCCTTATTTCCAGGTTGAATCTCTCCCTGATCAGTTTCCATCCATTGTTCCTTTCTGGCCTTCGGGTGCCTTGGAAAATAGATTGACACCCCCCCCTCCTCTCTGGGGCAGCCCCTCAAATATTGGAAGCCTGCTCTCCTGTCTCCTCTGGTCCTTCTCTTCCCCAGACTAGTCAGGTCCAGTTGCTGCAACTGTTCATGGTAGGTTTTAGCCTCCAGTCACTCCCTCTTGCCCTCTCTCCCTTTCTCTCCCTCCCTCTTTCTTTCTTTCTCTCTTTCCTTCCTTTTTCTCTCTCTCCTCCCTCACTCTTTCTCTCTCTTTTGGTTCTTTCCTTTCTTTCTCTTTTTCTTTCCTATTCTTTCTCTCCCTCTTCCTTCATATATTGGAAGGCTGCTCTCCTGTCTCCCCTGGCCCTTCTCTTCCCTACATTAGCCAGGCCCAGTTCCTGCAACCGTTCATCCTATGAGCCTCCAGTTCCCTCATCATCCTGGTTGCTCTTCTCTGCACTCTTTCCAGAGTCTCAACCTCTTTTTTATAGTGTGGTGACCAGAACCGAATGCAGCATTCTATTTGCTTGTCTGAAGGTTGCAAAAGGGGGACTGCATGATTCCGGGACACTGCAACTTGTCAAAAATGTGAATCAGTTGCCAAGAGGCAGAATGTTGATCATGTGGCCATGGAGGAGGATGCCGCAACAGTGGGAAAATTGGCCGCTTTTTCTCCCCCAGGGCTGTTGTTAACTTTGAACGGTCAGTAAATGAACCACTGTTAAGTCAGGGGCTATCTGCACTTCCATCGCCTCAAAGGAATTGTGGTTCTAACTCGCGTTGCGGACGGCTGGGCCTGAGAACACAGTCATGGCAAGGGAGCAGCCCCAGCAGACACCCCCACCCCCACCCGTCCACTCTCCAGACGATCCCTTCAGGAAATGGGGCAGCTCTGTTAGACAAGCAAGACAACACACACACACACACACACACACACGTCTTTCCTTACCGAGTTCTTGTAAGCTGGCCACGTTCTGGGCAACAAATATACTCTTGGTTTTGGCTGTGGAGGATTGGTCCGTGACGGTCTGTTCTTCCCCTTCCCCTTCCCCCTAGAAGCAGAGCCAAATGTTAAGAGAGAGAGAGGGGAGGGGGGGAGGCAGAGCCTGGGCCGTTTGTCAGCCCTCAGATGGACCCCAGGTCTGGAGGTGGCTGATGAGAAACAGCGGGGTCCAGTGCCTGACGTGCAGATACACGGAAGGCAGAGGAGAGGAGAGCAGTGGAAATCTATGGGCCGGTCCTTGGGACGGAAGAGCCACTGCTGCTAGCGAAGCCCCACCCTAGCTCTGGGGATAAAAGGCAGGGGGCGGAGATGAATAGATTGTGGCAGAAAACTATTCATCTCCCTGCCGGACAGACTTGTTAGCCTGCAATGAGAGAGAAGCTTTGCCAGGGCTGCTGACACTCCTAATTAAAGGAATCACTGATTTAACTACAGGGGGTTTGTCGGGTTTGGGAGCCAGGTCCCAACAGTTACGATCTCCTGCCATCAGAGGTTCACAGGCTCCCTGGAGCCTTGGGGCCCTCTGGTCACCCCTTGCTAAGCAGGATGGGCAGCCCTTTTCCCCAGGGAACCTGAGCCTTCTCGGGCAACCTTCCACAATCCACCTGAGCCTGCAGCGTCGTCATGGGCGACAGGGCCATCTTGGGATTGAAGACAGAGGTCAGCTGATTGAGGAAGTTCATCTGAACCTCCTTCTGGCGCAGTTCAGGCCTGACTGGAGAAGCCAGCTCTTTCTGATCCTCCACTGGAAAAGAGGAACGGGAGCGGAGGGTCAGGCCGGGGGGCGGGGGGGGCTGGGGTAGAAGTGGGGGTGGAGCAGCCCTTGCTGGCACATCCCGGGGCAGAAAATGTCATGGGGAGGGAGCCCTTACCGTCCGAGAGGGTCTTCACGGTCTGGGGCAGCTTGGCCGACTTCATCATCGCTGTGAAAGTGATGATCTCCGTCCGGTCCAGGCGGCTGCAGCCGGTGCACAGTCCCTTGATCAGCAGGATCAGGTGTTTCTACGGCAGCATTTTGGAAAAGGTGAGCGGCGCAAGGTTCAGGCCACCTTTCCCAAACCTAAGCAGACCCCAGGTGGGCAGGCACCAATTCCCAGATTTCCCCCCACCCCACCCCACCCAGCATGGCCTCTGCTGTCAATTCCAGGGTATGAGAACCTCATGTCTTTCAAGCAAGACCCCAGAGCTTCCAGGGTCAGCTTCAACCAAGGGCCTTCCATGCCAACGACGCAGAAATTCCCCAGCGGGGCAGAAGGGGGCGCTCTCTCCCCCTCTTCTCACCTGTGAGACAGCGCAGGCCTCGTCTGGGTTTTCAAGTCGCAACAGGGAGAACTCAATCAGTACTTTGCAGGCAGCTGCTACAGACTGCAGCTGGTTCCGAGGTACTGAAAAGGCAACGGGATTACGTCAGCCCAACCAAGCTTGAAAGGAGTTTTTAAGCAAATGCCGTGTCCTGCCTGACTGCATAAGCTGATCTAGGAATCCCCACTCCCTTGAAATGGAGCCTGCTCTCCCCTCCATCCTTTAATTCCTGGTGGAGAATTAATTCCTATGTCCATTCAGAGGCTTTTGGGCCAGGATCGGAGGCAACAGAACCAAAAGTTACCCTAAACTATAGATATATGAGCCATGGTTGCGCAGTGGTGAGAGTGCGGCACTGCAGGGCTACTTCTGCTGGCTGCTGGCTGACTGTAATTTGGCAGTTCGAATCTCACCAGGCTCAAGGTTGACTCAGCCTTCCGTCCTTCCCAGGTCAGTAAAATGAGGACCCAGATTGTTGAGGGCAAGAGGCTGACTCTGTAAACCGCTTAGAGAGGGCTGTAAAAGCACTGAAGCGGTCTATTAATCTAAGTGCTATTCCTTCCTTCCCTCCCAGTGGTTAGAATGCAGTATTGCAGGCTAACTCTGCCCACTACTAGGTGTTCAATCCTGACCTACTCAAGATTGACTCAGCCTTCCGAGGTGGGTAAAACAAGGACCCAGATTGTTGGGGGCAAGAGGCTGACCTGTAAACCACTTAGAGAAGGCTGGAAAAGCAACTATGAAATGGTATATAAGTCTAAGGGCTATTGCTATCTTCCTTCCTGCCCAGTGGTTAGAATGCAGTATTGTAGACTAACTCTGCCCACTGCCAGAAGTTCGAACCTGACCTGCTCAAGGCCCAACTCAGCCTTCCATCCTTCCAAGGTCAGTTAAATGAGGACCCAGATTGTTGGGGGAATAATATGCTGACTCTGTAAACCACTTGAGAGGGCTGTAAAGCACCGTGAAGTGGTATACAAGTCTAAATGCTATTGCTATCTGAAAAACCGTTTTCTGCTTCCTCCTTTCTGGGTGTTCATAAATGCCCCTCCCTTCTGCCATGTCCCTCCTAACCCTTCTGCTAACCACCTTCTAAACCAGTTTTGCTAACAGAATTCCAGGGGGATTCTGTGATTAAAAGCTAGGCGAACGAACACAGCCCGTGCAAAATGTCCCAATGCGCTCACTCACCCACTCCACACACCGTGGTGATGTAGTGCGTTGCAAGTGCAACAAAAGAGGAGTAGAAAGGCTCATATTGCTTGTCGTGGTGCAGGATTTCCGACTCGCTGCGGCGGAGGAAAGAAGCACAAGACTCAGAAAACTGGGCGCCCTTAAAGTTAAACGTGGGGAAGCTCTGAACATCGAAGGCGGAATGGAGGCGAAATTTGGTCTCTGGGTGGGTTTCGCTACTGATATATAGCGAAGTTAAAGCTGCCCCATTGGTTCCTAAAACCACACAGATCATCTGCCAGCAGGGACTGCAAGGAGACTCTGAGAATGCATGAAAGCTTATCCTAGTTCAGAGGCCTCCAAACTTGGCAATTTTAAGACTTGTGGACTTCAACTCCCAGAATTCCTCAGCCAGCTGGAGTCATATTCCGAATTGGCCATTTTGCTGTAGAAACCATGTGTTTTACATGAGGAAACTGTCACGGGCTGTCAGACCCCTGGCCCAGCCTTTTCTTGTTCCACCAAGCAGCAAACAGTAAGCACGGAGAGATCTATCTGTCAGTATCAGCTGCTGAGGAACTGCAGTGGCCTCCCCTCTGTTTATCTGACCAGTTACTCGCTCGACTCAGGCCTGAAGTTCGATTCAGCATCAGCAATGTTTAAATGTTAGGAGGGACTGCAACGTGACAGAATTGTGAACTCGGAATAAGCCAACAAAAGCAACCAACGCAACTTTTGAAATCCGAGTTAAGTCATGCCACGGAAACGGTGAAGGGACTGCAACAGGCATGGACTTGCACTGTTTTGAGGCCCTGAAACGATTCCACACAACTTAATAAGACAAGGATCACAAAATGCCCGAGGAGATTTTGCAAATAAACCTTTAGGAGTTGTATCCCAGAAAGGAAGAGCAAACAGGAGCGCAGCGCCTTCAATACTTTGCAGTCACATGCTTCCCCCCGCCCCCTTTATGCCAAACCTTGGCTAGATTCCTATGATTTATTCTGCTGGTAGCCTTCGCATGCACTGAAAACAGAATTGACAATCCCACCCAGAAATGCAAAGAGACAGGAGTTTGTACAGCTTTGCAAAGGGGAAGTTTTTCAAAGCAGGCTGTTGCATAATAGGAACTTTGGATAAACACCCTAAAGTGACAAGGGATAAAGACAGCATTTGGTGAAAAATTTACATTCGGATTGCCAACAGCATGAATCCAGGCTGCATTTTAAAATATTATTTGGAGGAATTGTTTTTAAATAGCTTCAGCTCTGAACAACAGTCAGTTGCTCTGGGAAATTCTTGACTCCAAGATCTAGCTTAAAATATACCAGCAATGAAAGCAACGCACAGTCCAAAATCAACTAGTGATATGTTGCTTCAAAGAAGACACGACATGTAGCTGCTATCTAAAACAGAAACTGTGCAAAATATCTACTAAAGAGCTCCAGCCCACCCTTAAAATACAAGGCTCTGTATATGATTCTCTATTCAAACCCTACTAAAGTCTCAGGTACATCAGGACGGGATATGGAGTACCACTGTCCTGTCCGGTCCGGTTAGCTTTTTGGAAGTGTATGCACAGGGCTGTAGCTGGCCCTGCTCATTATGTTGGAGGAGGACGGCCCCCTCCAAGAGAATGAGCAGCTACAACCCTGTGCATACACTTCCAAAAAGCGAATGGACACAGAACAAAGATACCTGGGAGAGGAGAGGCAAGTCCTTACCACCACTGAAATCAGGACTACTTAGGTTCAATAATAGACTCAGCGACACATTTCCAGGTCATAAAAGAAAAATAGGGAGCTGCACCACCACCCCCAAAAAAAAGTGAAAACAAAACCACGGGGCCCAGATCCCCAATGAACTGAGCCATCATGGAAGCAATTTGATCAGTCGGAGAGGAAACACACAACGTTTCATCCAAGCCTTTTGGGACAGGAGAGGAAAGGAGAGGATCCTGCAGAGCCAGGCCTCCAACTGATCTACCTCTGAGCAACTTTTCAAAACAGCTTTAAAACACATTTCTTTTTGCCCCTCTGGATGTGTCTGGAAGGCCAAATGTCTTTTATATCAAAGGGGTCTTTGAAAGACCAGCATGGCTACCTTAAGTCCACCCGGACAAATGACAACCAAAGGCAACTTCCTGGCAAGACGAAGAGCCCGTCACAGATATTCACAACCTGAGAATTTTTGTGCACCTCAGACCCCCCCACCTCAACACCAGCCTTTAAGGTGCTCCCTCCAGGGCTGCAGGGCCCTTTCAACCACCATGTAACCACTACAACTCCCATCGCCCACATCCTTGGGCACTTTCCCCAAGAGGCTTCCCCTCCCAGGTGGACCAACTACAACCCCCAGCATCTCCAAAGGGCTGGTTCTCTCCCCTAAGCCAGGTTGCTCCTAACTGGGTGAGGACTACAACTCCCATCGCCCACATCCCTTGGGCATTTTCTCCAAGAGGCTTCTCCTCCCAAACTGGACCAACTACAACTCCCATCATCACCAAAGGGCTGGTTCTCTCCCCTCAGCCAGGCTGCTCCTAACTGGGTGAGGACTACAACTCCCATCGCCCACATCCTTTGGGCACTTCTCCCAAGAGGCTTCCCCTCCCACAGTGGACCAATTACAACTCCCATCATCCCCAGAGGGCGGTTCTCCCCTTCAACCCCCTCGGCCAGGCTGCTCCCAGCTGGGTAAGGACTACAACTCCCATCACCCAGCGGAGGGAGGTTTTTGCGAGGGGAGGGAGTGGCTTCGTTTTGCCCCGCCCACTAGGAGCTGTCAAGCGGAGAGGGGAAAGTTGGGGGGGCAGTGCAAAATGGGGGGGGTCTTCCCCCTTCAGGACCCCCCCATCCCCGGAGCCCCTCCCCTCATTGCGCCCCCCTTTCCAACCCGGCGGGGGGGGGTGGAGCCCCGCCCCCTCCTCCTCCCTCCCACCTCTCAATGACGGAGGCCAGCAGCTGCGGCAGCTCGCGCATCTCGAAGGCCGAGTAGGAAGCCGACAGCAGCGGCCGCACCGCCACCTCCCAGCCGGGATCCCGCTCCGAAGACCCGGGCCCGCCGCCGCCGCCCCCCGACGCCGCCATCTTGCCGCCGCCTCTCCTCAGTTCTGCTTCTAGTAGCGTTAGAGTTGCTGAGGCAAAGACACCAGAGGCCGGGGGAAGAGCTTCCGGGTCGCGGGGAAATGACGTCGACCAACCACTTCTTCCGGTGGAAACTCCGCTCCCCCCCCAAACGACACCTGTCTGTTCCCTGAGGAAGGGAAACAACGGCCTAAATAATAAATTGGACGCTTTTATCGTTATTATCAACCGACATCCAGGCTCTCGACGTCCAGAGGAAAAAATTGGCGGCCTTCTGAGATTTCAAAGGGAACCGCAGGCTCGCCTCACAGAAGCGAGGCAGAGAGATTTCCGGGACGGAGGGCTAGAACGCCCCACGGCTATTTCCGACCGTTCTTCCGCCCCCGCATGGAAAGGAAGCCAAAGGAACGCAGGGGACGCAGTATCAGTTTCCTTTCCTGGCTCGGCGCGGAAAGGCGCTTGCGCAGAAAGGTGACTCAGCGACTTTCTCTTGGGTGCGCATCTGCGCAGGCGCCCTCGTTCTCTAGGTCTAGGGCTTCCATGAGCAAAGGCGGATTTCAAAAGTGGATTTTTAAAAAGCCTGATCTCTTTGGTTGTATTTTGAAATCATCCAACACAGGAGATTATTAATATTTTCTGGAGCATTTTAACATATGAATGGCTTAAAGTTCAAAAAAAAAATATCTGGCCCAAAGAGCTTGCAATCTAAAATCTGTCTTAATTTATATACTCTTATATTTTTAAATGTATTCAATTTAAATTGATTAAATTTAAAGTTAATGAAAATAATGGTGCTCCTTGGGCAAGGGATTGCAAGCCTGCATTTCCAGGGAACCCTGCCAGTTAAACACACCACCAAGAAGCAAATTCACTGTGATTTCTTTTATTTCTGCTGTGCCTGAACTGGATTACAGGGGGAAATAGGTCTGACTTCACATTTTTTCCCCCGACAGAAAATGCAAATTTCTACCCTGCAAACTCCAGATTTAGACTCTGCCCACCGCAACCCAAAACCCTCCTCAAAATAAATATAAATAAACCAACAAAGCAAGCCACTCACTTGCCATAAAGAGAAAACAAAAAACACAATTCAGGAAAATGTTTTCATTCAGAAAGTCAAAACTTGTTTTTTTTTTTTTCAATGAGCTTCAAGTACTCCCATAACCCAAAGCTGGACAGATTCCCCCCCCCAAAAGTCAATATAAATTAGGAACTATGAGACAAAGGAGGGGAAAACAATCTAAGAACAAAAGGAGCCAATTAAAAAAATAAGTTTAAAAATTCAGTGCAGGGAAAAGACAAGCCAAGTCTCCCTTTGAATTCCTTGCGAGATGGAAGATGGAACAGGTTCATTATTGCCTGATTTATATCCATTTTCCAAGCTGATATTTTCACACATTCTCTCAAAAGACTGGGGTGGGGGTTTTTTTCTTTCTTTCTCCACAGCCATTTTCTTCTTTGTGGGGGTGGCGGGGGAGAAGAGAACGGAAACAGGCTCTATAGAGAAATCTGGCTGAAATCTGAGCTAAAATTTCAGGGGGGAAGAAACAGGATGACAATGTTTTATCACAGCTTCAGGAGCTGAAAAAAGGTTCATCGTAAAAAGTTCAAGCAGCAAAGCAGTTTCGCAGCGCTGGCGTCGAAGGACGGGGGGGAAAAAGCGGCTTAATTTCACAGAACCTTCCCCATTTCTGGAATTTCTCGTTTTCCGCAGTGAATCGGAGACGGGTTTGGGCAAACAGGCAGGGCAGTTCTTTCTTCCTCCGGGGTGGGTGGAAAGGGGGCAAGTACCCCTCCCTTTCAAATGAGACTGCAACCCACTCGCAAGGGCTCGGCCGTTCCGCCGTCAAAAGTGGGCCTGTGTGCTTCTCTACCGTTACCGCCAGGCCCGGTTCAGCAGCTTCACCTGGGCCAGCCTCTTGGTGATCATGGTGGCGAAGACCAGCCCGAACAACACGCTGCTGATCAAGACATAATCATAATCGTCTTTGAGGACGTCGAACTGTTTGGAGGGGTAGACTCTGGTCTGGTAGAGGTCTAACCCATAAGCCACCACCTGAAGGAGAGAAGAAGAAATAAAAGAGGGTTTATCAGTTTTTTTTAATGATGAATAGATTTATTTTTCTTTTTAAAATTATAAATATTTTTAATGTAATTGAAGGGGAAACTTGCGGACTCTGACTTGAAAAGTATATCTGTAATGTAGTAGTTGTAAGAAGATTAGTGTTATTTATTTTTTTAGGTGATAATTAAAAGTTAAATAATTATTGGGATTTAAAGGGGGGTTAATTGCATGTTATGTAAGCAAAAGGGGTGGCACACTCAAATTGGCAATAGTAGGGGAAATTCTTTTGAAATGTTTGAAATGAGATGGAACTCTTGGAATGATGAATTAAGTATATGCAATGAGATTGCAAACCTGACAGAGAAAAACATACAGCATAAGGAATATGAAGATATGAGAGTTACTTAAATTTTAAGGAAAAAGATTAAGCAATGTACCGATAAAATATACAAAATAAGCTGGAGGAAAGTATTTGATAAAAACGAAAGAATATATGTAAAGTATTGGTAAGAGATGAAGGAGAACTTTTAAGAGGAGTGGACTTCAATTCCCAGAAATCCCTGGGCCAAGACAATGATCTATGGTGTTTCTCAACCATCAGAACTTT